TTCTCGCTCTAGGTTTCAGTAGACTGACCTAAATACTGCCGTCAGAGACTTGGCCATATATGGATTGTTCTTTCATAACACTGCAGTAATAGGAATGGAAGCTGATGTTGTATTGTTCTTTGTTTTATCTCCTCATCCACTGCAGAGTTGTAACACTGAGAGATGCAGGGCTCAGAGCAACTCATGCATGACAACTCATATGCAGTTATGTGTTATGACCTAAAATTTACATCCAGTGTAAATATAGAATACTAACAATATATAATAGTACATAATTTTCCCCTCTTATAATGTGAATGTGATTAAAATGCAACACTACAAGATTCTGGGATTGTAATTATTATTTGCCTGGGGTTAAAGGTATTAACAATTAACTGTTCAAATATTTGAAAGTTTCATATATGGTGGAAGTTAAGACCTTATCACACTTCACAGCTGTGTGTGTGTGCGTGTGTGTGTGTGTGTGTGTGTGTGTGTGTGGGTGTGTGACCGCCGCTTGCTCAGCTTTCTCATGACATTTACAAGGCAACTTGTTTGGATTAAAACATTTGCAGTTTGTTATTACATAAAACAAGTTGAATGTTATCTTTCAACTAGAACCTGCTGCGACTCCCACGTTGATTGACGGCTCTTTCAGTCTCCACAACAATTCAAAATGTTTTCTGATGCTGTCAAAAGCTTGTTTGCATCAGTGATATTTCTAAATAAAACAGTCATGCAGGCAAATAATTTGTTATGATCAAACAATAACAATTTTTATAATTACATATTCAAATATGGTTGTAATTTATATGAAAATAACAGGTTGTTCCTTTAAAATCATCCGTCTCAACAGTTTGGATGAGAGCTTTTACGAAGCCACTGCCACAGTCACTGCAGAAAATATCTGCATTGTGTTTTTTTTTTTTTTTAACACCACTGCTCGTGTTACTTGGGCCAGACCACATTCTGATCTTCACCAACAACATCCTCAATATACAAATTATACACTTCCTGTGTGGTTTGGGTGACATGACATTTGAAATCCATTGCGTGGCTGAAAAAGTGTAGACAAATTCATATCATAGCATCTGTCCACCTCTATGTGCCATGCTTTGTGCCATGCTTTCTCCTTTATTTGTGAGTGTGTGTGTGACTGATCGTATCAATGCTAGTTCCAAAGTCAGATCTCCGTTGTGAAGAGTGTACACTGTTGAGTGTGGAACCCATGTGTCCCTGGTGAGATGAACAACCAAATGGGATTTGCAAAACAGGAAACTGGAAAGATGACTTACAGCTTTCTTCTTGTCCAAATTCACAGTACAGAGCAAACACAGTCCCTGTGAGACACTGACTCTCTTTGTCTCTGTGTCTCTGTGCTCCTCACATTTCTCTCTCATCCCCTCTCTCTCTCTGTGTCAGAACATCAAGAGAAGGAAATAGCACACAGTGAGCACAGCAGAGGGGAGGGGTGGCGTAACTTAATTTACCCTCCCTGTTGAGTATATGCTACTTGAGTACTTGAACTCAAGAAGAATCTCATCCCAGTGTTTATTAACCAGTGCTGCTAATCACTTCCAGTGGATATTCTCTCCTCCCAGGGAAATGATTGCAAGGGAAATGTTTTGCCTGAATGTAAACATAATTAACTACTACTCACAGTCTTCCTCCGAGGTAAGAGGATATATTATAAACGAGCCTTATGTGCAAAGTAGTTGACGTTCTGTGATGTTGCAATGTCTTCTATCCTGAGGACTCATGTTCGGCGTGCCTGCAGCACAGCCAGCACAGCTTTATCAGCCCGCTGCTGTCAGACCTACTGATAACAAAACTACAGGGACACAGGCGCACACACACATATGTGCACACACACACATATTCAGCACTGCTCAAGGCCGAGATATTGTGCTCTCCGTATTTCCTGAGGTATAGTGGAAATATTAGCTTGTAAGGAGGTGTTTAAGGGTCTGTGTAGGTTCCTTTTGCGTCCATGTGGGTGTGTGTTGTTGTCGTACTTAAAAACACAATAACCTCACAACGCGTTCGTATTAATAGCAACGTTTCCCAAAAGCCAGGATGAGTCGTCAGTGAAGGCCCCGTGCAAAGCGCTATGTCATCCTGGAATGTGTCCAGAGATATTTTAGTCACAGTGGAGCTCAGCACAAGACGGTGGAGATAATATCAGCACAGAACGAGCCCCACTAACAGAGAAGGGAAGCATAGACTTTGGTTTTGGGGGCTGCGGATGACTGGTAGCAGCCACAACTCAGTCTTACAATCTTGCCAGATTCCAGGAGATTGAGTTGCTCCATTGTGTATTCTGTTTTTATTACATGGGATGTGATTTCCTTACAGAATAGGGGACTCCACCTCATTTTGGGAAGTAACTGGGCCATGGGAGGATCACATACTCCTGTGGAGACTCATTACAGAAGTATCTGTGACTCAGCTATTGTCTTGGCCCTCATTTCCTTCAGTTGATACAAATTCATGCAAAGATTACAGACTGTCCCTACACTCTGTTGCAATTCCTTTCCTCTTTCAGCGTGTGCCTCTGGCTGTCCACTTTCGCTCATTTGCAGATTTACTCATGTGAACTCGCAGTTACAGGGTAGTCCGTTTAGTTTGGACGTGATTTGTCTTTGTTGAATGTCAGTGTGCGGCACACAAGCGCAACAGTGCACAGGGGTCACATCAATTTAAAAGTGCAAGATTGCGAGAGCAGGGCTGGCTGACAGCAAAATATTTTTTCCCCAAGACACAAAGCAGGCCGTCGTCCTACTCACAAATACAACCCCCCCCCCCTGCCGCCTCGTTATCTCTTTGTTCCTCTCATCACATCAGCACTGAGAGAGACTGCCACTCTCTTCTATTCTCTTTTATGTCTTTTTCTCTGTCTGTCTCTGGCTGTCTTGTCTTGTCTCCTAGTCAATCTCTCACTCATACACTCACAAACTCACTGTCTCTCCCTCTCACACACAATCACTAGCAGCACTGACTCATTCTGTCACTCTCATGTCACCACAGACTGTCCTCCATCACATTCAGGTATTGGAAGTCACTGTTTTTTTTTTTTTTTTGTTTTTTTTTTTTTTTGCTCTCTTCACCCTATTCTTTTTTTGCTCTACCATCAGCTTCTGTTCCCTTTTTCTTGCTCTTTCCTTCACACCTTATCTGTCCTTTCCTCTTTCTATCAGCTTAGCTCAGTGACAGAGCCTGTCACCCTGGAATGTATCCTGCCAGCTGAAGGATGATGTGTAATGTGCAATGCAGGCCGTTTGTGCCTGTCACAGCTTGCCCCATCCAAGAGTTTTTCCGATAACACTTTTGTGCTACACCGAAACCAACTTGCTCCAGCGTAGACCCAGAGAAACCTTGCATATTAAAAGACAGATCTCAAGCATTCCTGTGCAATTTCAGCACAATTTCAACCTCAGTGCCTCTTTCCTACTGTTCTGGCAAGAAGAATAGATCCATGTGGTGGGCAGCAAATAAAGAGAGAATCTGGGAGATGGTGGTAGGAGGAAACAAAGAACCAGAATTAAGAGGAGGTAGGAGGTGATGAAGACAGGAAGATCATGATTTAAAAAAAAAAAAAAAAAGAGAGAGAGACTTGGATTAAGTAGAAGATGGCTGCAAAAGGGGATAGGACAGAGAAGATGTTGAAGAACAGGAAATGTATATGACTAGGGAAAGAAAGAGACAAAGACGGATGGGGTTAAGATGAATGTTGCTGTGTGGGAAGCTTGAAGGAAAAAACAGGATGAAAACGAGTAAATAGAGGAAGGAGACGAGGAGAGATAGTGAAAGCCAACTGGGAGAAATAGCTCAGTGATGGATATGTCAGGATTCAAATCAAATTGACTGATGAGTACAATCATGTCCAAGATGTTTTCTTCCAGACTATTTCAGAGGACAGGACCTGTGCAGCCTCTTTTCATAATGTATACAAAACCGACTGAAGACCAAACTGAAATGTGAGGAGCAAGTAACAACAGATTGTGGAGGGAATGCAGCCGAGACAAAACTCTGCACAACCCTAAGTAGTCGTAGCACTCTTAATGCTCCGATGAGAATCTCCTCTCCGTTGTGTTATTGCAGAGGCCTCTCGGTGACGGGCTTCGGCATCAGCACATACAAAAGGCCTGTGTTCACGAGCACATCGACAGACACACACGGTGCACAGTAATAGTGGTTGGCCGTCTCTCAAAGTGTTCTGAGCTTTGCAGCAGTAATGCAAGGCTATTAGAGTTAACAGCTGACCAGCAGGAGCCAGCACCAACAGCCATCTCGCTCCCAGCATCACTTTCCTCTATGTGAGAAATCTTGTATCCTCAGTGTACTGAATGGAGGCTGTTTAACTGTAAATGATAGATTTTGGGTGATGTTCTTGGATAATATATCAGAAATTGCCGCCACATGACTTCAGAAAAACGCTACAGCCCTCTCATCACCTTTTGACTTCAGATTCAGGGTTAAAAATGATGTGACATGTGCTGCTGTGTTGGAGTTCAGCACGTGTGTAGTTGCAGGGAATGCGTGCGCACACTGAGATATAACGCCCTCGTTTCTCCATGAAGCAGCTCACTAGGCTGTCACTGGCCAACGCTGAGTCACTCTGTTTCAATCCAGAGCGAGCCGGTCGGCCTGTGCTCTCAGCCCTGCTGCTGGAGCACGCCTTGCAGCAAAACCTCGACGGGGTAATAATTGCCGCCGCGCAGAATATCAAGCATAATTGCGGGCGCTGTTTGTCATTCATCAAAATGTTTCCCCCAGCTGACATTTTCTTGGTGTGATGTGAAAGACAAGGCTGATTTTGATGAAACTGTTTGGAAAGGTCATGTTCACACTGAGCCGAGTTTCATGCTCACTATCGCTGCAAAGTCACATGCAGCACCAGACTGACTGTTTGCACTGATATACTGTAGTTTCACATGTAGTGAAGGATCACACCCTTGGGATTTGTCTTTGTCTCTTTGTCATTTGTTTGTATTGAGTCAAGTTTCTTTGATTCTCTACAGAATGGGGGTGGATGCAGATGAAAATCCTGAGGAGGACCTTTCTTTTGAGGTAAAACACTTTATTGTGTTTACTTAGTAATCCATATTTTATCTGCTCTATTTATTCCTGCAGTCTGTGTCCCTTTTGGCACTGAAATGTATTTTAATCTTAACTGTGCAGTAACACAATGTCAGCGCCATCAGCTTCCATCTGCAGGAAGACATACAAAATGTGATGTACACAGATACCTCTGTCCGACAGCGTAAAAAGCAACTACCTGTGGAAATTGTAAATAATTTAAATTATCTCACATGTTGCAAAATAATTTGTAAAAAAAAAAAATGAAAAAAAAAAATGTTATGGAACATTTCATGTATATAAGCAGCTAAGCAAATAGCTAACAGGATTTCCTTCACTGTGACTGTATGTGCTTTGCTGCCTCCATTCAGCTGCACTGCGTTGCATTGCCTAGTTGTTGTGCAGGTATTTCTCATCAATCCCATTTAGAATGTTGAGCATTAGTGTTATTGTATTGATGTATTGATGTATTAGACAGTCAGTCGGGTTTTTTTTTTTTTTTTTTTTTGTGGACTAGTAGTCCTAATGGTCTAAGAGTTTTATATGACTTGGATTAGGTATACAGGGGATCAATTCTTCATGAAAAGCCATTGCCAGTATACATTAAACTTTAAAAATGAGGAGCTAATTTAAAAACAATATGTAGAGAGAAATGACAGATGGAAATAGAAAACATCTCACTAAAGTTCAAACTTATGCCACAATCACTAATAAATTGTACTTTATGATAATATCTTTATAGCCAAATAAATTGCACATACAGACCCACAATCTGAGGCATAGGCTGTTGGTAGAGTTTTTGCCCATTCTGTATATTACAGGGATTTACAGTATTTCCTGCCATCCTTGCCTATTGGCACATAATAAGCTTCTACCCTTTAATCTTGGCTCTGTTGTTTATTTTAACACCGTATGACATCAAAGTGAAGAAGAGGTTCAGGAGGAGGAAATGCACTTTTGCTTCCTGCTAAATGACAGTCTGTAGCACATCCTTGCCAGCACAGAGGCCTTCTGAGTGTGCCTTTTTGTTGTGCAGGCACGTCCACCCACACGCACCCCTCCCACCCTACCAGCACTGCTTCCCATCAGCTCTCCATCCCCTCTCTTTCATCTTCTTATATGGCTTCACTCTTATCTGCACACTGTGAAAGGGACATGGTCTGGCCAGCTCCCTGGCGTTATGAGGCCAGAGGGGCAGACAGAATAGAGAGCGTCGCCCGTAAGACTGGAGGACGATCCCAGTGGAGAGGTGAGGCCGAGCTCCAGGGCTCTTTCTTATGGAAATGGCTAAATGTAACCTTGCCCAGAGTGTGAGTCCACAGAGGGACAGCTAGGGGCGTGTTCTTACTGTAGCGCGAAGGGATCTCAGGGGACTCAGCAGTTTTTGAGAACAGGATTTTCCTATATGATCACCGTGCCTGAGGTCCCACTTGTTAAAGCAGAGGTCATCGGATACGGCCCTGCTGACAATCTAGGGGTGCAGGTTTTCAGCATTTCCATCAGGCAGTGTATACGGCCACCCCAGAGGGTCTTTGTGTGTCAATGAGTAACAGTGGTTCTCTCATGGTCTACAGGTTGCTACAGGAAGGCCAGACACAACACCAGGCCTGTGGCACCATCTGGACTACAAGTATCCTTTCACTGCTTTCTTCTCCAAAGCACTCTCACATCTTGCTCACACTCACAATGGTTAATGCACCAGTCTGGGAGTAGCATTATACATAGAGGACAAATACAAGAGAAATAGCAGACTACTTCATTTCAGGGAACGTGAAGAAAAGACCCTTATGTACTGTGATGGCAGAACAAACAGGAAGTTCATGAACTGCTTTTGGTGGGTGGTCTGCTAGCACCTGTTCACTATGTGTGTGTGTGTATGTGTGTGTGTGTGTGTGCGCGCATGTGGCATATTTTGGAGCATGAAATATACATTCAGTTGCACCTACGTTTGCACTTTAAATGAACAGTGTGACATTTTTGGCAAATGTGTACATATTTACTTTCTTGCCAAGAGTTGGATGAGAAGATTGATACAATGTGATTAATGATTTGTGTGTTTGCTATTGACTACAGGGTGAACTGGTTTCCTGTAAGCAGAGAATGTAGTTAAATCATTTGGCAGTAAGGAAACAGTCATGTCATCTGCGGTGGAATTTCATGAGGACTGCATTAGGGTTTAAACTAATCTAATTTTACCACTTAATGGCCTCATGACCTAGCCCGTTGCTTTTGAAGGAGCACATAATTTTACTTTATGGACTCAATCTCCACTGCAAAACAATGAGATGCAGGCCTGATAGTGCATTCATTTAGAGTGTTCATTAAATGCATGAGTGTGTTAATGTTCTTTTTTTTTTTTTTTTTTTTTTTTTTTTATTTAGAGGAGTGCATTTAAAGTGAATTATAGGTAGCTAAAATTTGTATGATTGGAGTGTTGGTAAACTATTAACCACTCACTGTGGATTGGAAAAGCTCCAAATGTGCAGGTTACATATCGGAGATGCTCTGTTTATGGAAAAAACATCTCTTCCTGTGACAAAAAAGCCTTGAGTCACTGCTTTTCTAAAAATAAAAATCTGAGTTAACCTTTTCATAGTTGTAGGTATTTATAACAGACTGTCTACTAGACTGAGAAACATGCCTCACTATGGCCTGTTCAATCATGTTAAGACTGTCAGTTTTCTCTGACATAATAACATCACTACATTCTAATTAAGCAGAGCGGAGAAGATGAGTTTATGCGGTAATGACATCTGCATTTACAGTGCAGCGAAAAAAAGTATTCAACAACCTCGATGGTTTTGCACTTTGTGTTCTTGCAACGTGACTAAAACTAATGAATTTAATCAGAATTATGTAGATAGTATGCAAAAAATATAATAAAAAGACCTTTTGTAAATGTAATGAAAACTAAGCCTTCAACTTAAGTAATTACTTTCTTGGGACAACATCGGCAGCCTTACAGCCTCAGGTTTTTTTCTGGATGTGCCTGTATATACATGGCCCCTTTAGATTTGGGGATTATCTTTCACAATGTTCCTTGTATTATGCCATTGTAAACTTAATCAAGTTTAACAGGGGACATCTGTGAACAACTACCTTCAAGTAATTATTAGATATTGAAAGGGATATTTTCATATATTGTCATTGAGTTATACATACTCTCTGACAATATTGGTCCAGACGAGCTTAAAAAAAGAAGCAAGACAGCCATGGAGTTAATAAATGTACTAGCACGCACACAGAATTTGAGACAGTGCAAACATTAAACTTATGACATTTATGAGAGAGAGAATGAGAGAAGCTGTGAGTCGGATGAAAGGCACAGTCCTGGCCAATGTTTCCTATTGATGGAGGGGAAAAAACAGTATTATTGAGATGCTTTGATGTGGACCAGGTGAGAGGAGTCTCAGTCTGGATCCCACTGCCAGATAATTGACCTTCAACTTGGCTTGCTGGTGTCTCCTAAAGGCATACTGCTGCTTCCTTAACCGTTTCCCTGTCAGCCTGGCTTTCAGGCTCATTGGGATGAACATTTTACTCTTATGCACTGATTTTGACAGACATCAAAATGACGGACATTTTGGCCTGTTTGATCCCTCCTGCTGAAGTGGTTTGCAGAATGTGGTTTCTGGGCTGGAAAGCGATGTTTTTGTTCTGACTCTGGAATCCCAGAGGCCACCCATATTTAAGAGACCTGGGGTGGCTGCATTATGCGGTTGGCTGGGTCTTGGGAGTCCATGGCGTGACTTGAGAGTCAAGTCAATTTTTTACCTATATTTATGGTATTATATAATATACCACAATAGTAAGACATAAACAATACTAAATAAAGAGTAACAGAAGGAGTAAATATGTGTTGCTGACATTTGGATGTAGAAGTATCCATTGTTTAGTACTGCTTCTTTGACTGTTGTTTTATTAATGTGTGATATTGTTGGACATTTAATGCAACATTTTATGGTTGTAGCTAGTCAGTGAAGCTAATTTTACTCAAAATTTATATACTGTTGGGTGATTTAATCATATCATATGTCATATGTTTTGCAAGTAACATCTGAATAATAAGATACTACTAACTACAGCTGTCGTATGAATGTAGCTAGTAGTAAAAATTAGCATAGAGTGATAAAACCAGTCTTTTCATATAGACACCAACAAACATAAAAGGATTAGTTCACTAGTTTACAAGTTAGATTTGAAGAATTGGAAGAAAGCATTTGAAGCTCCAGCTAGCAGCTGGTTATCTTCTCTTAGCATAAAGACTGAAAGCAAGGGGGGGGGGGGGCTAGCCTGGTAAAAAATATTGGTTTACCACCACCTCCAAAACTCACTTTTTTACTGTTTGTTTAATCCGTACAAAAAATGAAGTGTGAAAACTCCAAGTTGTGGTTTTACGCCAGACTATTTCTTGGTGTCTGTGCTGGTTTCCTGGCAAACTCACAGTGATGATGAGACTTCTGGATATCACTGCGTGCTGGAGACAGTCCATGATCCTTTTTGTTCTTGATTTTGATATTCTCTGTTCTTAGTAGTATACAGTATGTTCTTACTTCCACTTCATCTCTCTCTCTCTCTCTCTCTCTCTCTCTCTCTCTCTCTCTTCCTTATGATATATATATATATATATAAATCTATCATAAGGAAGTGCTCAAAGTATAAATACCTCAGGACTCTATTGAAGTACTGCAGTTGAGTAAATGTACTGATGAGAGGTCAGGAGAAGGTGACTTGTCGGACATGAAGGGAGGACATTATGTTTGCTGCAATGGTGGCTGAAGCAGCAGTCGGGCCTCTACCCCCCACACTACTACTCAGCACCTTTTCCAACACACACACACACACACACACACACACACACACACACACACTCACTCTGCACCATTTTGGACCAGAAAGCAGCTCTAGCAGTTATAATTACCATCGCTGTCTAGTATTATACCCGCGTGGAGGACACTGTGCAAACAACAGCACAACTCACACCTGTGAGTCCCAAGGAAGTCATTATTCCCCCCTTTTCTACCTCCTCACCCTCTACCCTCTTTTTTTTTTATTTCTTCTTCTCTCTGTCCCTCATTTGAAAGATTTATAAATAAATCCTGTTAGTTGTGGCCATAATTCCTACCTCTTGCATATTGCTGATAACAGCGCCAGAATGTAAGAATTGCCGCCAAATAACATATTAGATCATTTTCTTCTTTTTTGTGTTTTGTACTTGAAGCAGGGGATTGTGCACTTGTGTGCTACCTCTAAGTCCCACATTATTCATGAAAGGATCTAAGGTACAAAGGTTGCTTTTTCTAGAAATGATACCATTGATGAAGTATTGTTTTGTCTTTCTCCAAGGTAAAAGCAAAGTACGAACCTTCAGAAGGGCAATTATTAATCTGAATTTTTTTTAGCTAGTGTGCCGTCATTTTTTAAGGGTCTGTAATAGAGAGGACACATAATCAAGTGTTTTACAAGACCATCTGTTAGAAAGCCATTGTATGTTGAAATCTGTCCCAGAAAGAGGTGTTAGTGGGTGTATAATATGTCATTGTTATTATCAAGCGACTACATTGCATCACGGGTGTTTGTTGATTTTAGCCCACAACAACTCCAGAGGATTTTCACTGAAACGTCTGGCAATTCAAAAACACCCCCCTTCTAACTCCTGCTCTCAACACTGAGCCGAAATATCCTTGCCTGTACCATTTTATATCATCACTTAAACACATTTATAAACCATTTCTGACCTTGCCTCTGGTTTCAATCAAGTGGAAGTCTGACCCAGCTTGCCTGAAACAAGATAACACCCCATTTGATACCTTTTTTTCTGTGAGTAAATTATTTTTATCTCTATCTAGTCCTCTGCCAGTCTGCTCTTGTACAGCACTCCCTCCTGGAGAGTCTTTTTTTTTTCTTTTTCTTTTTTTTTTATAGCATTGGACCTTTTATGACAGCAAGAACTGGTAGATGTATATTAAGAATGCTAACAGCTTAGTAATCTGTAACAAAAATAGCACATGCACCTAAAGCTTGAATGACTAATATCCAGCTCTCTGCAGTATGTTGTGTTGAAAGTGGAAGGCCAATGGCATTCAATGACAGTGAGATGACTACAAGGGGAATAGTATGCAAGGGGAATAGTACAAGGGGAATAGTATGCTTAATATAATTGCATAGACAGTTATCATTTCAACATTATAGCATGTGGTTTCATTGTGGTGATGTCAGTGAAATCAGAAAAAGGCTGCGTCATTGTTTTGGCTCTTATTGTGCTGTGCCTTGTGGAAGTGAGTTAGTCTCTGATGTATTTTTATCTTTTGCTTGCACAGTGAAAAGGGAACTGGAAGTCTAGTTGGAAAGGGAGTACTTGGGTGACACGTTGAATAATATGTATTATGATAATGACTGGGATCTTAAGACAGAACCAACTCTTACAGTATGTTCAAGAAAATAGCTAATGTGCCACAGTTAATTTCCCATGTCTAATATATATTTTCTGTTTAAATTTTGTGCATGTATGGATGTTTCTTACCTGCTTCTCTCTAGAAAAGAGTGATTCACTTTAACCAATTCAACATAATCTTCTGAACCTTCATGAACCCTCAAAAATACATCAGCGAAATGCTGCAATTCCATTTTTTCCCACATAATCGCATAATGTGCTTCCTGTGAGATATGTGCTTTGGTGCTGCTAAAATTATCATTGGTGGTCTGAGGCCATATTCGTAAAAGGCGAAAAACAAGCCATTTTTCTCCCTGCAGTTTAATGTCATTGACACTTGATACCTGCACACCTTTGCCACCATGCCTTAGCGAGGTCAAAGATATCTAAAACCGCTGCTAACACATTGTGGCCCTCCACTGACCGACTCACTGCCACAGCGGTGTGGAGCATTAGCCAGACTCTTCGGCAGTCCACGTGTCCAAGAGGTAAGACTTCTCTTGTGTTACTACATACTGTAAATATATAGAGGATAGAAAGAAATATAATTGTCAATCATGATTTGCCACTTGCTTTTCAGTATGAGGAGCAGCTCTGTGAGACTGAACCAGATGACTCCATCTTCCATTTGGAGAAAACAGAGAAAGAGCTTGTATCAATAGGAAGGGATTCTGGATCTGAACACCAGGAAGACCTAGTGGAGGGAGACCTGGGCCTTGGCACTGCTCCAGCTCTCACCAGTGAGGCCTGAAGCTCCAGGAGTTACCTCTAACCCCAGCTTATCAGCCCCTGCTGCCCTGAGGCGAAGGCCTTGCTTCCCACAGTGAATGGGGTCACTGGGCAGGGCATCTGAGAGGAGCCAACTGGGAATCCGAGTTACAGTGGCTCCCAAAAGGTCATACACCCCCACCCCCCACTCCCTTGTGCTGACATGCATGCAAACGCCCACACACAGGGAGTTAAAACAATTACAAAAGCCATTGCTTTTCCTATAGCAAATCTCAGCTCAGATATTTGTGTCGGGTCCAATCCCCACTGCAGTGAGGGAAATTGAATGTTTTAGCCACTTGCTAGCATTAAATACATGGCTTTGCTCCGCATGCACTGCTCAAATACTGAGCTCCATTGACTATTTCAACCTGTTCTGGGAGCAACAAATTCGTCAGAGAATGGATGCGGTTCATTTGAACAGAGTCTGGGTCCGTTCACTTACTGCCAGCTTAACCTATGGCCTTCAGTACCCCACTGCTGGTATTTGGAAAGGTTCAGCAAAATCTGGCCAAAGAAGATGCTTCTCTTCTGCCCAGCACAACAAGGATAACGCTGTGGATCATTCCCAGAGCCACCCTCCCCACTCACCTCTCTGAGACATCTCACACAAGCTAAGGATGCAGATAAAAGGGATTTATGAGATGTTGCAATGTGGCACCAAAAGCTCCCACTTATCCAAACAAAGTAAGGACATTCTCCCTGCAGTCAGCCCTGTAACGCTGACTGCAGGGAGACTGTCGGTCGTAGATATGACCGACTGGGTCCTTAACCCACGCCCCCCTTTTTAGCTTATGTGTCCCTCTGCATACTGGGTATGGATCCACTGCTGTTGATACAGCCGACCCCAGGCAGCGAGGAGCAGCTCTTATCTCCTATATAAATCTGCCATTCAAGAGAGTGCAGACAGGCAAAGTGCAGGTAGCGAAACTCCAGGTTCATTATGAGATCTATAAAGAGAGACTTGGCTTCTTTAAGGTGGAACTAAAAAGGGCAAGGTGGTCCTTTTTCTGTGAGATTATTAACAAAAATAACAAAAATAAAAAAAATTAAATTAAAATTCTAAGGATAAGACAAACAGTTTGTAGCTCCATCTTGGGCAAAATGACATCTGTGCCTCTGCATTAGACTACTCCAGTTACTTTGGCACATTTTCACCATCTAGATTATGCAGCCTTGACAGAAATTGTTCAACAGCTTAAGTCTGGTACCTGCTGCCTTGACACTCTAGCTTTTTAAAAAAATGTTTTTAACTGCATAGCCTCAATTGTACTACAGATAGTCAATAGTTCTCTCTAAGGCCCTTTTTCAAGGTCCCTGAAGACCACAGTTATTTAACATCTTTTATGAAAATCCAATCTGGATGCCTTAGTAATAAATAACTATAGGCCCATACCAAATGTGCCATAGTAAAGATTATTGAAAGGCTGGTCTTTAGCAACTAAAGCTTTCCCTGGTGCAAAAGAATTTCTTTACTGCTTTTCAGTCTGGATACTCACATTATAGCACAGAGACTGCACTTGTTCAAGTTCTAAATGCCATTCACCTGAGGGTGTCAAAAGTTGAGTTTTGGAAAAGTGGTTGGGACTTTCTGGCACTGTGTTAAATTGGTTCATATCATATTTACAGATAGGGCCTACTTTGGGTGGCAACTGGTAATTATGAATCAGAGCTAACAAAAATCACGTGGAGTTCCTCAAGGGTCCATCGTTGGGCCTCTTCTATTCAACATTATAAGCTCCCCCTTGCTGAGATTATGGAAACATCTCTTACCATGATTATGCAGATGATAACTCTACATAACAGTGTCACCAGGTGACTACGGTCCCTCACATTTGCTAAATAAGTGCATTGAACAAACCAGTAAGTGGATGTGCCAGAATGTTGTACAACTAAAAAAACTGAAATAATTGTTTTTGACCCCAGAGAACAAAGAAAGTCAGTGCTCACCTTGAATCCATGAAACTAAAATCTACAAATCAGCCAAAAATTTTGTAGTTATGGACTTGGACCTAAATTTCAACAGCTACATAAAAACAATTACAAAACCAGCCTACTCCCACCTGAAAAACATAGCAAGAATTAAAGGATCTGTCTAAACAAGATACAGGAAAAGGTGTTCATGTGTTTATTTTCAGCAGACTACACTATTGTAATTGTGTCTTCACAAGTCTTAGTAAAAAACCAACCAGACAGCTTCAGCTCATCTAGAGTGCTGCTGCCAGAGTCCTCATTAACACCAAGAAAGTGGAGAACATCACACCTGTCCTTAAATCACTGCACTGGCTTCCTGTGTATCAAAGGATAGATTTTAAAATCCTACCACTTGTCTATAAAGCACTCAGTAGTCTCGGGCTTTAATACATCTCTGATTTACTAGTACGCAATGAAGCACCCAAACCCCTCAGGTCATCTGGAACAGGTTTACTCAGTGTTCTCAGAATCCAAACCAAGTAAGGTGAAGCAGCTTTTACTGTCTATGCTCTCCACCTGTGGATCAGGCTTCCTCAATACCCGAGGTCTGCTCAAACTTGTCAGCTCATTTAAATCATAGCTTAAAACATTATTGTTTGCTGTGGCTTACCAATAAATTACATTCATAACCCCTTTTTAATCTTTAATCTTTTAAATTTATTTTCTTGTTTTTGCTTTTACTTGTTCTTATTTTAATTTTTTGTTTTTAATTCAATTTTAATGTTTGTTAATGACTTGTTTTAAATGTTTTTTTTGTAATTATTCAAATTGCCCTGTTTTGATTGTCTTTTAAATGCAATTTTAATGTTTTATTTTCAATACATTCCATATGCATCTCTAAAGAACCTTGAAATGCCTTGTGTCTGAATGGTACTTTATGAATAAACGTGCCTTCCCTTGATACTCTACTAATGATTTTCTTTGCTTGTTTTGCTCCAGTTTTAAGGAATTTAACAGCTAAAATAGAAATGTTAAATCTGTATAATTTAAGAGCCTCGTGTCGAAACACAACCAACAGGAAGCTGAATTTGACCTATGTGTGCACAGTGTACTTTTCACACAGCATGCAAAATTATAATGCAATAGTTCCAGTGAAAATGCAACATGATAAGTCGCACATTAATTAGGAGCAGAGCAGCTTCATACTACTTGGTTACATAAAATCTTGGTTTAAAGCTTTAGGGAAAATTGCTCATGAACATCCACTACCATTGAACGCAACTATATTTCCCTTAATCAGCTGAAATTGTATTTCTGTGCCAGCTTTGTTTTGTTCTTCCCCAACTCCTTATTAAACTTTTATTGCACTGTTTTCTGCTACAATCCTTTTAACTGATTCAAATGTATTCCACTGAATTTATTACCCCCTCATCTCCCTCCATGTCTTGCTTATCATTCTGCGCCGCACCAGAATACTTCCATATGCTTAAATATATTAACAGCAGTTGGGAAAGATGATTAGCATGTGAGGTTTCCTCTGACTTCTTTAATTATAGATTGCACTTTGGTGCTCTCTCAGTGCATCATTATAAATCTCATGGCCCCTTTCCCCTTGAGTGAAGCAGGGTGTTGTGTACTTCAGTAATCCAATCGGTGAAGGTTAGGCTTTGTGAATATGCCGACTGTTTCCCTCATGTTAATAAAGCCATTGTCCTTGAATTGAGGGCTTTCCATTTTATATTGTGAATGCATGGGTGCATCTACGGAATGCTTCTCTGCTTAAACTCTTATATATACACAATGTATTTTCCTTTGCTTGTGCCGATGTTTGAATACAGTTTTGTTCTGAGCAAAAGAGAGTGAATGATAGCAACAGCCTTTCATCATGAGGCCTCAATTAGAGATGATCAGCCTTCAACCCAATGCTTAAAGGGACAGTTCTTCCAAAAATGTTTTTGTAAATCTAGCTTTGACGTGATTTGCCGAAATTTCGAGCTGTAAAACGGATCATCTCAACACACTGTAACACCCTGTAATGCATTTGTCTGTGATGCTCAACATTTGAATTTGACATTTAAAAACTAAACCCCATTGTCTCTTTTCACATATGACGGTTACCTCTGATAAACCGCAACCCTTATTTTCAGTTCCTCCTTTGAGAACTACTCACTTATGTATGCCTACCAGCTACAGCATCTATCTCCATTCAGGAGGGAGAAACTACTCATGAGATTTTACAACTTGTCTGAGTAACCTAGTTGACGAAAGTCTTACTGTCTGATCAGCTTTTGAGGTGTACTTTTTTGGCTACTTTGAGCATCACAAACTAAATGTTCTTAGCCTCTGTTTTTCTGAGGTGAGATAAAATGTACAAAGCTCAATAAATTACAGCGAACCTGAATTGATATGATGGTTTTCATAAAAAAATCCTTTAGCTTTTAGACATTTAACCATGTATTTCCCCTTTTGAGCCATTTCTCTGAAAGTTCTCAATAATTACTTCTACCAACTTAGGAAGACAGTATGTCAGATCATTACGAATATTTTTACGACATGTACTTAAAGGAACTCTGCGGAGTTTTGACCACTAACCATATTTCTTCTCATGCATGAGGATGCACGTGCACACGCATGCACATTTTTTACCAATGTTTTCACAGTATTCTACTATTCTACAGGTTGTGATGAAGGCCCAGGAAACGTATCGATGCGCCAACAGAGGCAGGGCAGAAGAAGTATGCCAGGAAGTAATCATTGATGTGCCTTTGCAGTTGTTTGACCTCAAGGGTACACACAGTGCTTTTTGGTGAGTAACGCTGAATGTAAACATAAACTCCACAGGGCACCTTTAAGTTGTATTGCAAATAGCAAATTTATGAGATAATTCCAGCATGATGGTTCTCAAATGGTGAGGGTGGCACAGTGGTGCATAGTGCGCTGGCTGAACTAAGCTTTGAAATATCTCTTAAATATAAAGAACAAAACTATTATGAAGACTCTGTAATTAAAATAGATATTAGTAGCATAAAGCTCTGTTATTGCAATATTGATTAAATCCAGTGACTCATCGTGTTGGATTTTATTATAATTTCATTTTTAAGGAGACGTTGCCTCATGCACCAAGCTTTGAGAACCACTGGTCTTGCTATTATGTTTTTGTTCATGATTCTAAAATGTATAGCAGTGCAGGTTGTTCAACACAGATGCATCGACTGTCTTGTTAACTGTGAACTTTACTCAATGCAATATTCCCAGATCATGTGTTTTTATAAGAGCAAGCAATTGTAAACATTTGAAATGGTAGAACAGACTGCTTACACTGACACTGAGAGAGACAGCTCCCGAGCCATACCACTGTCCACAGTGCATGATAGTATCCTACAAGGTTTTGGTGACAAAAATCAAAACATACCTTTTTTTTCTTTTTTCTTTTTAAATCTAGAAATGGCACTAATGCTGTTCTGATGTAGCCTATTCATCACACCTCTACCTATGGCACGGCAACAAACCAATTTATTGATTGTCTCTGACTTCAACCAGATCTTACAAATAAACATTAGCAATGAGCTTTTTTTTTTTTTTATCAGTTCTTTGTTTTTTTGTTTTTCTTTCATCCACTATTTTCACTTTTACAGACAGTATGGAGACTGGAAAAACATATTGTTTGTAAGATTTTGAACATTCAAAAATAACCCCAAAACATCCACTTTGAAGTGTCATCATAACAAGATACATGAATTATACAGTTGTTTGTCTTTTTTTTTTTCATAGTTGCAGCTTCACTATTCATTGTTTGTAGGCCTTGCATTGTCAAACACACCCAGTATTCCAGTATAAAAGAAGTGGTCCCTTCAAATACCACTGTAATTCAACTGAGAGAAACATGATACATTCCAAATGTGGCCAGTGGAGCTCCTCGGACACTGATTCAAAGTAAAGCTTTAATTCCACAACAAGAGGAAACGGCACTCGATGCAAAATGAACATTAAATTAGAAGGTCTTTGGTGGTGCGGACGTTTTCACAGTTTGGAGTGTGTCAGTAGTGATTTGCTCAAGTCCTTAGCCTCCCCGGCTGTTCTGACTCTTTCATAACCTAGAACAGACATGGCATGGTGACAGTAGTCCTCTACTTGTTTGATCTGTTGAATGCTCAGCACTGTTCTCCATGCACTAGCAGCTTGTGTGGCATTCCTGGATGAGACTATGAATGGCTTAGAGGAGGAGCTCGAGCCACTGGTCATGTTCAGCGCAAACGACTCAATGTCGTGGTTGGTGGTCAGGTTGGCAAAGCGGTAGATGTTCCGCAAGGTCTTCACTGGGTTCTCGACCAGGTCCTCGTACCGCACAGCCATGTACTTCCCCTTCAGCCAGCTGGGTGGGTTTAAGGCAGTCCTCAAAGTCCTGGAGGTCCGGTCACAGATCACCTCCATGGCTCCTATGGAGTGGTAGTCTGAGCCATCCTTCTTGTTTGCCTTGTGACCAGGATCCACAAAAGGTATCCGGCGAAGTTTAGGGTCCCTGCTGCGTACCACCTGTAAATTCTCCCTTATCAGGCCGTGTCTGGATTTGATCCTGGAGTTTGCCACTGCCCGCGGGTCTCTTACTAGGTGTATCACCTTCAAATCCAAGGATGGATCCTCCATGAGTGGGGCCAACACATTAACGTCCAATATGCGTACCCCTTTAATGACTATGGTGCTATATTTGAGGCACTCCTCCTCCAACAGTCTAAGGCTTTGAGGGGGACACTTTTTACACACCTTGTCATCTACCATCCCCACCACCTCCTTCCTGTAGGCTGAGCAGAGGGGATAGGAGCACACCACTTTATTGAGGGTGGCCCCAAATAGTCCGAGGGAGGTAAAATTCTTGCCCCCAGGGCTGTTGTAAAGTTGGAAAACAGACAGATCACAGCGGTATAAGGAGCTAAGCATGTCCCTGGCTGCCCCTTGTAAAGACACTGCATCACCTGGGTACAGTTTCTGCCAGATGTGCCACATTGGCTCATACAAGAAGAACACTTCAGGATTTTGGTTAAAAAGCTCCCCAAAGAAGGATGAGCCTGACCTCCAGGTGGTCAGAACATAGATAAGCTGTCTCTTTTTAGCCAGAGAGGGCCTGTATAGGAAGCGAATATCAGATCTGCTCTGGTAAGTGGTGCTCCTCATCTGATGATTACACTGCTGTGGCTCTTTAGTCCATTTATAATTAGCCAAGTTAAGCATAGTGAGGACCAGCAGTAAGAAATAGGCCATAAATAAGACAATCCTCTTCCTGCGGAGGACTTTCATCACGATCCCAGGCTGTGCTATTATCTTGGTATGATTCCTGTAGGTTTTAAGCTTTCTCCCAAAGCCAGCATCCTTCTCCCAAGGCGCTGTCAACTTCAGTGGTTGATGATATTGTTTGCCTCTCATCTGTACCCTCGGAGAGTGGCTCTCACCACAGCACAAAGTTCCTTACATTGACAGTATACCAACACACTCTGTAGGATGTATATATCATATACTAGGGGGTTTGATAGCGATTTGAGTGCCAGCTGATTAGGTAATATATTCACCACCAATTCGAAATCCACAACACGATATCCCGTTTTCACTGCACTGCGCAGTGCTCTTCATAGGAACGACGGGTGAGAGGAGCGTCTAAGTTGTCCACAGCGTTGCAGTGATTCTGTGGGTGGCCCGTGTTCAAAACAAAAACGAAGAAGCTTTCATCGTTGTAACAGACGCCCTGTTTGCCCATGCTCAGCGGAGGCATCCCTGCGCAGTTATCATCTGATGCATCCTTGAAAATGCAGCCTGGTGAGATTCAGGCTTCGCAAGACAATGAAACCGTCAGGCTGTGGCGCGGCGCGGCGCGGCGGGGCAGGAGCTCAGATCATTCCGCGTCTGCCATAACGGAGCAGTGAACGGCACAGCTACACCGTTTGGTTATAAGATTTCGCCCCCCTCGTTCTTCCTGCTCCTCTGCTCTCCCAAGTAATACAAACTGGACCGATTCAATCAGAATAGAGAGAAAGACCCGCCCACTGAGGGGCTCCATTGGACCGCGTGGTGGCGCCGTACGTCAGCGACCCGCGCCATTGGACCTGCTGCCCGTCTGTCTCGTTGCAGCCTCGATTCTGGCTCCCACAGATCGCAGCAATGGTAGACTATGGGAAATGATGCTGTTGTTATGTTTCAGAGAGGTCTACCTCACTATCTGCAGCCTTATAACCACGATCCACCCTTATGTTTAGACACAGCTACACATTATACCAGGTGTAAGAGCATCACAGGATTTTGATTGTTCTCTCTTGAAAGACACAATCTCTCCCATCCCCATTGTCTTCAACGTTGCTCTTTGTTTAAAATCAGCTGTTTTCAAGTTGTTATTCCATTAAGAGTCCTGTCTTTACTTCCCTATAATATGTTCTCCTCATAGTGCATGACTGCAGCAGAGAATCAATATTTCAAATTAAAAGTATTTGTTTTTTCCCACTACCGCCTCAAGAGGGTAGCCCAGATCTATAAGAAGAAACAGCTCCCTAGCCTAAAGGAAAATCCTATTATTAATTAAATGTGTACCATACATGCATTGCAGCAAAAAAAAAAAAAAAAAAGGAATTCTCCTGTCCGATACCACAGGGACATTTATTGTGATAAAGGATAAAAATAAATCATTGAAAGTAAAGTATTTCTTTATATCTGTAGGAAAAGGCCTAGTGCAGTGGTTTTTTATTTATTTATTTATTATTTTATTGGATGTGTTGGAAACAGTCAGCAACAATGACTGGCACTCCTCTCAAGTGGAATCAGCTGAAACCTGACGTTTGACAGCTGTTCCCCAGGAACTGACAAGTCCTAGGAGGCTGTAAGGCCATGTGTTTGAACAGAGGAAACCACATGCTCTGCAGATTGAAAATCATCTTTCCTAAGAGGCTTGCCAGTTTGGGATTACAGCTCCGCACAACTGAACCGCACAAAAGATGGAGTGAAAAGGGGCTCGGCCCTTTGACCCCCGATCAGAAATCTCCTAGGTCTGCTATGTTCAGAATCGGATTTAGTGATTTTATGCTGATTTTATTGTCGCTTTATTGTACTTTATTCTGTATATCTTGCACCATCAGAATCTTCCTTTAATATTGAGAAGGCTGTTTATATGTTGTCCTCATTCAAGCCAGTAAAGCCATGTTGTTTTTCTAAGAAGACATCTGCTACAGATCAAGCAAAGCTGTGTGTGTGTAAGTGCTTCTGAAGAGAGCTCACATTATATATGTTGGATTATTGGACTGTACAGTGAATAATTAGTCTTCGCGCTCTGTAAACTGTGTTGTGGTTGCTGATCTTTCTATCCCATAGATGCCCATTTTGTAGTACTCATCCAATGCGGATGTTTATAGTACAAAACCTTTGTGTATACTGCCCTCTGCTGGAGGCAGTGTTTCCATTCAGGACAAAAAAACTGACTTTTCTCTCTCCCCTTTTACCCATAAAAATCTTTACGTAACACATTTATTAATATTAGCAAAGAATTTATGTATAGCATATGTAAGTTATCTATTTATGGTCATGGATGTAATAAAAATAAAGCATTAATATTTAATAGGAACTTCTGTTGTTGTCTTTTCCCAAGTTTATGGAAATTACTGGCAACATGTCATGTTAACAGACCTATTTCAATCCTCCCATAAATTCAGTGCTGATGAGCCAGATTTTCTATATTGAGTGTCACCTTTTTAGAAAGACCTGTCATAGGATTGTTTACATCCTCCGTTCATAAACTGTTTTCCTCAGTTTGGGTTCATTTACTGAAAATCTGACAACCTGCAACCGTGTCATTTCTGTGTCGAGCACCAAAAAAAGCAGCCTGTATATACAACACCTATTCCGTACATAGTGTTCTTTTACTTTCCTTATAATCTGTTTCATTAACTGAGGGCCGTTTTGGGACGCTGTATTATTGGATCATAAAGTTCAGCTACAGGACCTTTTTCTTCAGGTATAATTGTGTGGAAATGGAGTGAGTGGATGGGGAGAAGTTTATTTTAAAACGCTCATAAAAGTTAACAGCTCCTTAATAAAGGAGCTGTTTCTTTTTTTTATAGGAGCTACTATTTCGAGCTTTCCTCTGAATTCTTATAACAAACTTCTAACATTTTGTGTGGGCTTTTGCAGGTGGGTGAAAAGTCGGGAAACGTAAGAGGACACCTCATTACCAGTGAGAACAGAGTGAGTAATTAATTTATATGATATACAACAGAGTATTAATATGAATTATTTTTATTACATTAAAAAAATCCTTTCTATTATTAGAAACCTATTACCTATTATTATTTTTATTATTCCTTTCTACTAGACTATATATGCAGGTTATCATGGACAGCAGTTTATATGCAAGATGTGGTAGCAACAGCCTCATCACATAATTCTCTGTAATTGGGATGCCTATAGATTTTAAATTAGTTTTTCTTTTCTTTTTTTTTTTTTGCTGTTTTAAGACATTTTAAACAACATTATCAGATTCATATGGTATTAATATTTCCATTTTCAATTTAAATAGTTGCTTTAACAACTGTTTGATTCCACTACTTTTCCACAGAAAACATTTTGACACATCACAGTAGGAAAAGCACAGGACTAAATAATATGAGTGAAAGCCTGCGGAAAAGGCCGATTACACCCAGTTGACATGTCACAATTCTCCTTATAATCCTGATTATATTGCTTTATTGCCTCTCAGTACAGTATGTACTTTGTGACTTGACTCCTTGTGTTGTATTACCATTACATTTTTTGCCTTTGACGAATGCAGAGTTGGAAATCGCTTTATCATTTTCTCTATTTCTCCGTCATGATTTACATCAATGTTTACTGGCCTGTGAGAGGTGTTACAGACTGACTGTGGAGGTTGATATATCCTCATTTGAATATCATAGCCAGGGGGACAGCTGTGTGTATCTACCATATGTGTTCCCTCACAGCCTGCCGCACACCATATACAGACATCTCTCGCCCTCTCTTTCCATTATCCATATGTGATGAATTTCACCCACGCATGTCCAAACACATCAGCTACATGGAGGAAATAGCCTGTCCAGTGGTATGGACACACAATCCTACATGGACCAGAAGCCATAGCTGTGATTTTTTTTGTATCCTTTGTCACATTGTTATGTTCATATACATGCAGACCACCTGGAGCCATAGTATATATATTTCACACAGCCCAGCGCTATAAACTACACAATGACCAAACATGTCTATAAAATCTCATCTCCATCACTTGCAAGTATCTGTAAAACCTACTTTTGCAGTATGAGGATTGCTAGACTGTATATCTGCATCTGTATACACAGTGAGATTGACAGTACAGAGCTGCGCTGAACTGAATAGCCCTGTTACATAATCATAAAGCAGCGAGGCTTTACGCCTGCGAAATGAACGAGCAGGTGGAGGAGGAAACATGCGCAGTAGAAGCCCCGTCAGCAGCATCAGGACCAAAAAGATCCCCAGGATCCTGCGATGCGAGAAGATGGTGCATGTAAACACGCCGAGGGAAACGTTTAGTCAGCCTGCGGTCTCCCCGTATTTCTGTTGAATCCGAGTCTTAAAGTCTTTTAGTGCGACAGGAGGCTAAACGAGGTGAGTTTTTTTTTTTTTTTTTGTAGGAAGCAGAGGCAGCAGCAGAGATGCGACGGCAATAACAACACTTTGATGACATTGGTTTAGTCTCATGACGACGCTTTAAGCCTCTGCTGCGCTGCGACAGACAGCTGAAAGGACTCCTCTCATGTCATCCCATCTTGACGGGCTTTCTTGTGTAATGGTCGACGGTTTCTAGTGGGATGCACATCAGTGTTTGGCCGTACTCGCTCTCCGTCGTAATGGCAGCTCTGTACCAGGGCACGGACGCTTCCTCTCCGGATAAATTTCTGGCCTTGAAAGACGTGAGAGAGGTGAAGGAGGAAACGACGCTGGATGAGAAGCTTTTCTTGCTGGCATGCGAGAAAGGTTTGTTATTTGTGTCTTTGTTTTCCCCATCAGAGTTAACCCAATCTTCTATTCCATTGTTTTAAGCTCAATTTGATGTTTTTTAAGATCATAGAAAAGATCTTATTATTGTTGGAATCAGGTTATTGCTGTTCAATATTGATCAATCAAGACATCCCTGCAGTATTACATCTGATATCAGCAGGCCTGCATGTATTGTTGGTAAAATACACAATGACTAACAGCTTGAGAGAGTTCCAGCAGGGTCACTGCAGCAAGCAAACTGTCACATCACTTTTTTTTTTTTTCCTCCAGTGAATACTTCTCACAGCTTCCTACATGTTGGCTACTGTGGATATTTGCCCACAGAGGTTAAGATATATTTAGCTGAATGTCTGCTCTTGTGAAAGTTTTTCTTCCTGGTCTGCTGTCTTTTGATAAGGAAAGTTGTAGCGCAAACAAAACTAAAGTGTGACTATGCAATATGCAGACAGTACAAGCGTAAAATAGCAAAGGGGCATGGGCATTCTCAACTAGTCAGATGGGAGGGGGAATGTTTCATTGATAAGTTAAGAACATTGCACAGGCAGATACTGTTGTAGGTGTGCAGACCAGTAACTGCCAGTGTGACCATATAAAGTCTCTCTAAACATGGCTCAGCAACAGAAATTGTCCTTTGAGGGAGATGTTATTGTTATACCCCAATGAGGTTAAGAGGCCTGCTGGAGCTGAGCCTGCTCTGTGAGACTGTTTGCCTCATGATTGAAGCTGTGTGTGTGTGTGTGTGTGTGTGTGTGTGTGTGTGTGTGTGTGTGTGTGTGTGTGTGTGTTAGTGTGTTTCCTTGGCGTCACCCGCAGATGATACTTCAGTAGCTTTTATAGACCTGACATATGCTAGAATTCGGTAAAGTGGATTCCATTCATCGTATCCCGCTTAGTTTTTTTGGCGTGCTCCTCAGGCGACTACTACATGGTGAAGAAGCTCCTCGAGG